GCTTGGTAGAGAAAAGAAAATTGGAAGGATGAAAATTTTGAGGGTAGAAAAGTGGAAGAATTGAAGACACTTTTTCTTTCCATTGGTGTGCTTGGTAGGAAAGATGGAAAAATGAGAAGAAATTAAACTTTGAAAAATACGTGATTTTGAACTAGCTTACATTTCTCTCATCTTTTCTTTCCAAATTGGAATGATTTGGTTTTACACATGAGGATGGAAAACTATCATCCCTCTCATTTTCTTTCCTCTCATTTTGCTTTCCTACCAAGCGCACACAAAATGTTATTTTGTTTCCACTTCTTCCATCCTTCCATTTTTCCACTCAATCAAGCAAAGCCTTAAGGTCTTTATTTAGCATTGCAGTCTGTGCATCAGGTTGTGAGGGTAAAAAATGTTGAAGCATAGAAATAGCAGCTGCCTTTGATGGGTTGATTTTTTTTATCGATACACTTCTTTGTGCCATTCTGTCATTAGATTCGTGAAGCTGACATATCTAGACTTTCATTTGCTGTTGAGCTTGCTGAAGAATTTTATGGAAGGTTTGAAGCTTCTTCCATGTGCTGAATTGAAAGTAATATCAATTTATTACATGCGCTGAGCAAGCTTGGTGTATTTTACTTTTAATGCCCGTCAATATGGATACTAACCAGTCTTGTGGTTTGCTTGACCCAAATTTCATCAAGAACAGAGTGAAGGTAACTTTGAACTATAATATTTTTCATATTTATGCTTGTACTGTTTTGCTGTGATAATTCATGAGGAACCGTATTCTTGTAGGGGCAAGACATTGCTTTTGAACCTGCAAAACTTTTGTGGCTTATCCAGCGTGATTTTCTGCGTAAGTTCATAATTGTCTTCCAGCTCATGATTTATGAAGTTTAATAAGGCCCTGCTACTTTAAATGTGAATGATCTTGGGCATGCTAGCTTATATTGCACTGCCTCGCCTGTAACATTATAACTGCATCTGAGTTATCCCTTTCTAGCTTATATTCTATATCAGATTACTATTGATTTAATAGCATGTATGTTTGTCTGGTTAAACTTTCGTCTCAATCCATTCTTATACTCTTAATCTTCTTTTAAAGATTAAAGTGCTGTGGAAGATTTAGGAGACGTTCCTTTCTTTGTGCATCTCTTTTCTATTTTTTTGCCATTTAGATTAGAGTTCTTTATTGTTAATGAGAGCAAATCTGAACTCAATGCTTTTTTTAGATAAAGTGTGTATCATTAGTTGTTGCCTCTTCCCTACAATATAGGGGCAATTCACTGACATTTTTCTGGGTTTTATACAGAAGGAAAATCAGTGAAAGAAATGGTAGATGAGGCACTTAGACATGTCCCTAATACTGATGGTTAGTTTATTCAGTCCTGCTACATTGTTGGACAAATGCTTCTTTATGTTAATCTTGCTTTATTATTGTGATAATCTTATGATGGTGTGTCTCTTTTGTATCTTCAGGGAACAAAAATATTGATCAGGTATTCCTTCCATGACCAAACCTGTAAGCTATCACTAGACTTATTCTTGGATCAGAGATTTCACAGTTCCTCAAACTTTATCAGGTTAACCAGATTCGGGACTCCTTAGCTGTCATGGGAGATAACAGCACGGCTTTTAGCTTACCACAAGTATGGTTTTCAAATGTGTTTGTTTTATTCGTCAAGTATTACCTTTGCTCTTTCCCTTTTCTCCCCTTTCCCTCTGCTGTTGTCATTCTGAACAGAAAAAATAAATGGATGTTTGATGTGTATGGCATAAATGTTTTATAACAGACATCGAGTATAAGACTTATGACATCATATATCTATATAGACTTTTTAGAAATCATAGTGATGCTCAATATTTACCTTTTGTTTTGTGTGGTGGTGTATGAAAGGCAAAGACATTTGTGTGCGCTAGTAGACATTTAGGACGATGGAATGCATATAAGCCTTCTGCTGTGTATCTATTTTATTTGTTGGTAAATGGATAAAATTATTATTATATTTGAACATTTAGCATCTAATTGCTTGAAATTTGAACTTATAGCCTCATCTCATGCGAACAAAGCTTTGTGAACTGAAAGATGATGACCTTGATCCCATGTATGTTAAGAAAAGAGATCAACTGAAAGAGCTTGTAGCTAGTATTATACGCCCGAAGATTGTGCAGGGCAAGCATTTAAATGGAAGGGAATTTGTAGCATTTCTCGAGCAGGTTAGTTTATGTTCGCATTCTCAGACCTTTTAAGTTGGTGTTTAGGAAGAGAATTCTTAAATGAGTCATTGGTGATTGATTGATGTCCAACTTAAGCTTTAGTAATATGCATTTTTATTTTTAATCTTATAGATACTTGATGCTTTGAATAAAGGGGAGATCCCATCAACGGGCTCTCTTGTAGAGGTTTTCAATAAAGGTATTATCGACCGGTGTTTGAAGCTATACAATGAAAAGATGACAAAATTAGGTTTACCTATGCCGGAGCAATCCTTACATGATGCCCATGAAAGATCCCGAGAGGAAGCAATGAATGCTTTTGATGAACAGCATTTTGGCCGTCACCATGCAAAGCAATCTGCTGAGCAACTAGATGAAGGAATGAAGGAGGTACTGACTGGCACTTTAAGTTGCATTACCCTTTTCTTTTTTATCAATGATATTTTTAATTCATTCATTAAAGTTTTTTTTTTACTTGGGGCATTCAAATTCTTGGTTCTTTTTATCAACATTTCAAATTCTTGTTTACTGATGGTACAAGGAGATTTTGCAAGTAAGAAAATTAGTAGAAAACTTGATGGAAATCATACGAGTAGTTTTACTAAAAGATTACTAAAAGACATTATATTTACCTTTTATGAAATTTCTTGAGTTTTCCTAGGCTTCTAACTTTCTATTTTGATGGGAAATCCACGTTTGGTAATCTTGGATTTCAGCTTTTTATCATGCAAGGCATACTCTTATATCTGATACATATATCCATCTGGATTTTAAAAGTAATTAGTCTGTCTCTTAAATATTTTTTGTATATTTAGTCCGCTCTATTAGACTACAAACTTTTGTAATTCTCATATCCTTAATGCGAAAATTTTCTTTTAGGCATATAAGAATGTCTTTATGGCAAATGAATATCAGTCCACAAGGCTCTGTGAAGAACTATATACCCGATGCGAGGACACAATGGACCAGCTTCAAGTTCTTAGACTTCCTTCTATGGCAAAATTTAGTGCAGGTTTCCAGCAATGTAATGAAAGCTTTGACCAGGAGTGTGTCGGGCCTTCAAAAGTAAATTACGAGCAAAGGATGATGAAGGTAATCAGGATCCTTTGCAGTTCAATTCTCAGTTTCTTTCCTTATGTTGCAATATTTAGCTGGAAAGTTGAAGGTTCATTCAATTTTATTGATTAAGAGCGCTAGATAGCATTTCGAATGAGTCTGAATCGATTTAATGCTTAAATTACTGAAGTTTGTTGTCCATGTTGAATAACTTTCTTTCGTTCTTTTACCGGTGGAACTGAAACCAAAATAATCTCAATTGCCTATCAAACGGAAAAGATATGTTTATGGTGCATTGTCATTCAAATTGCAACAATTCGTATTATCCTACGTCTTTGCTACATAATGTGTTTTCCTTTGATGTATATTGCAGATGATGGGAAAGGCACGTTCTTTGTTTATCAAGGAATATAATCAAAGGCTCTTCAATTGGTTGGTGGCCTTCTCCCTTGTCATGGTGGTGGTTGGTCGATTCATCATAAAATTCATATTGGTTGAGATGGCAGCTTGGGTACTATTTATCTTCCTAGAGACATATACGAGGATGTTCTGGTCACCGGAGTCTCTTTACTACAACCCTGTGTGGCACGTTATCGTAGCCACTTGGGAAACCATTGTTTATAGCCCTATCCTTGATTTGGACAGGTAATAATATATAACATAAATGCCTTCACTTGCATCTCAATACAAACTTGCTTGTTCTTGTATGCTTCTCAACCGTTCTGTTCATATCTTATATGCTTCTATTTGTTTTGGCAGATGGGCCATTCCCATTGCTTGTACGATAGCATTAGGGATACTATATTGCCGGTGTTATCTGGGAAGAAGGAAACATGGGTCATCGTCATCGTGGCTTTTACCTCTGTACAACAACCATCAGAAAAGTGGTTCAAATAGATCAAGATCGGATTAATTAAGAATCGACCGTGCCATTTAGTTTGGTATGCTTTTGAACAATCATCTTGGGCGAGCCTTTTCCATATTTTTAGTTATCGTATGAAACGGCGCCAATCGGTTTTTTGTTCTCGATAGGTTCCTCTATCTGATATGAGATTAGTCAAAGTCTAAGGCGGGACTGACTGAGAAGATGATGAGCCAGGAAGGCAGCCAAACTTTATAGTACCTTTTTTTTCTGTACCATTCTTAACACAAAATCATCTGTATTATCATATATAATTTGATTTGTTTCAAATGACACTTATTTAATAGCTTCAGTTCCCCTTCTTGTTTTGCACGGAACCATCTTCAGTATATGGGGTTGAATTTAAATTCAATATATTAAGTACGAATTATACGTAGAATACACGTCGTTTACGAATTTCATCAATTTAGAATATAAGCATGGTTTGTGGATGTATACTTCAAATTAACTTTATATATAAGCAAATGGCAAAGTTCATATAACTTTATTAAAGTTCTAAATGCAATTGGATAACCAAAAAAGCATGCAAGCAAGCAAAGACTGAAAGCAAAGCAATCCAGTATTTGGTTCCCACCCACATGACCACGCACAAATCAGAAGAGTAGTTAGTTGGCCGGAATTTATTAATAGATAAAATTTAAAAAAAATCTCCGCCGTTTTCCGACCACCAACTATAAAAACGTAGACATGGACAAATCCAAAGCAAGCAAACAGGACAAAAACGAATGGTTTCCTACGTAATTTTGCTCCATCTCCATTCCCTTTTACTTAAAGAGCTCCATTCTTGACCTCAATAAAATCCCACTCTTTTGTTCGTCTTCTCCCACTCTCTATATATATCTCTATTGCGAAAACCAAAGCTCTAACTTTTGCCTTCGTCATTTCCTTCTTGCATGTAGATGCTAGCTCTTTGGTAGCACTAACTCGCCAGTTCGACTCATTTGAACTCACTTTCTCCTCTATTTCTTCTACGTTCTCATGGCTAGTAACCCCAACGAGGCTCATGCTGATGATTTCCTGGAGCAAATCCTCGGACTGCCTAACTTTGCGCATACTGGCACGGGCTTAGCGGGACACGACGGTGGATTGGCTGGAACCTGTGCGGAAGCTGGAGCGCCAATGTTTCTGCAGCTCAACTCAGCTGATGGTGCCGGACATCTTAGCGGAATCGGCGGCGGTGGAGGTGGTGCCTTTCATGGTCAGGTTTTTCCTTTGGGATTGAGCTTGGAGCAAGGCAAAGGCGGATTTTTGAAGCAGGAGGAAGCTTCCGGAAGCGGCAAGCTCTTCAACGACGGAGTGGTCGTTGGCAGAGCTTCTTCGGTAAAGAATGTAAGAAAACAATGGTGATATGAATTGACGTTACTGCTATCGTTTTAATTAAATTTGTATCATTAGTGGTGTGACTTAAATAAGTTTCCAGATTTTCCATGGCCAGCCAATGCCAGGAACTGTCGCGGCCGCAGCACCACATCCGCCGACCATGCGCCCGAGAGTTCGAGCTCGAAGAGGACAGGCCACGGATCCACACAGCATTGCTGAGCGGGTAAGATTAATTCACTATAACTTAAGCTAGTTCCTTAGCCAATATAAGTCATATATAGAAATACAGAAATATGTTTGCATTTGATTGTCACTTGTTGGTACAGTTGCGCAGAGAGAGAATTGCTGAAAGGATCAGGGCATTGCAGGAACTTGTTCCTAGTGTCAACAAGGTCAGTTCCTTCTTGTTCATCACTTTTATGGTAGAATTCATGTGTTAGGAAGAAAGTTTAACCATGTATAATGGCACTGTATTTTTTTTTTGTTTGTAGACTGATAGAGCAGCCATGCTTGATGAAATTGTGGACTATGTGAAGTTCCTAAGGCTCCAAGTCAAGGTACCTTTCATCTCATTGATTTCATATTTCCATTTCATTTTTTGAAAAGAAAATTCCCCCTCATTATAGTATGTTATTGTTGAACAGGTCTTGACCATGAGTAGGTTGGGGGGAGCTGCTGCGGTGGCACCCCTAGTGACGGACATCCCACTATCCTTAGTTGAGGTAATAAACAAATGATCTCAGCCCGTCTTTTTTTACTCATCTAATGATTCTTCTATTATACACCAGGATGAAAGGGGAGAAGGTGGAAGAAGCCAACCAGCATGGGAGAAGTGGTGGAATGATGGCACGGAGCGACAAGTGGCTAAGCTCATGGAGGAAAATGTTGGAGCAGCCATGCAATTCCTTCAATCAAAGGCTCTTTGTATCATGCCTATCTCACTGGCCATGGCGATTTACCACACACAACCACCGGATACTTCTTCATCTATTGTTAAGCCTGAAACAGATCCCACTTCATAAACCAGAGAAAAGAACAAAAATGAGAGCTGTTTTGGAATCAAGGTCAGATGCCATAAGTCCTTGCCTTTTGCCTTTATTTCCACCTTTTTGTTTGGGGTCAAAACAGCGTTTGATGTCAATGCCTTAAAAAAAACAAAGGCAGGCCCTTAGATTGTCAAAGCTCACTACATATGCTCTTCCTTTTGGTGAATATAAAGGGGGTAGTGGACCATGATGGAAGCACTTTCCTTGTGTTGTGGCTCTGATTTTTGGTTAGTGGGTTGTGGACCTTTTGAAAATGCTTGTTGCAATGGTCCAACTGATGCTTGATAGTGCTTTTCCAGAGTGTAATTTGACCTACTTTTTCAATTTCTACTGAACCATCATTGTGCAGAGAGAAACATGTTTAATGTATGCAAAAGTGGATATAAGATACTATTCTAATTTCTCTGAGCTTGAAAAGACATCAAGGTATTCCAATTCCACAGTTATGGCTTTTGCTTCCATAAAAAAAAATTATGCCGAACATCGCCGTCAATCATCCGGTACAAAGACTCATTAATCATCTCGTAACTTATTCCGAGTTGAATTTCCGTGGAATATCCATCAGATTTCGTATTGAGAAAAGAAAAAAAAATATACAAAAATGGTTGCTTGAGCTTGACAAAATCCAACAAGAATAAGAAACCCAGAGAAGCCCGGTAACATCCAACCTTTGCATGCTTTTTAGCAGGTGTCGAGATCTCGGCAACGGGGAGGTTTTGGATCAGTTAACAAAGTGGTATTTCCTCCTTCAGGTCCACTCATTATACGTTTGGGATTTTGGGTGCCAGGCTGAAATATAAAAGATAGATTACAACATACATTAGAGGCACTGGCACCATTTTGCTATATATATACACACACATATACGTATTTATATGATAAACTCAAAACACCCCAAGGTACTGTGAGGAAAACAAAGCATTTTCCTGCCTAGTTGCTTACCGGTAGCTTCTCTCCCTTTCTTAACATCTCAACTATCTCAACAAACCGTTCTGGAGTAAGATCTTCCTGCATTGTTAAAAATTGCAATGCACAAATTAGAATTCCAGTAGGTTAAAAATTGAGCACACCAAATTGTGGCAAGCTGAAAGGAATTCCCAGGAAACACATAATAATTATAGGTTTGCCAATGCTTTCCATGGATCAAGAAGATCATATTAGAGTTTGCTTTTGAATTAGATGGATGAGTTGCATCTTTTATGGTTGTGGAACAACCGAACCTACAGAATTAAATGATATACTATTGAAAATTTTTGTGAGGCTCTTTTCGTGAAGTGTTTAACTAGATGTTATGTCCTCTATGTGCAGAGGAACCCTAAATATCCAGATTTTAAGCACAAGGATACCGGAGAAGCCAGGTGGATCCTAGGTTGGAGTACTCCCCATTGGGTGAAATCCCAGTTGGAGATACTAGATTCTAGAATGAGCCCTCTGCAGGATGAGGATGAAATGAAGTTTTCTTCGATGGCTGGTGATGATGTCTTGCCTTTCTAATGGTTTATACTAGTGTGTTAATTATTGCTATAGGTCGATTACTCTAGCAAGGTGCTTGCATTTTTGTATGTGGAAGTTTTTGCAAGTCTCAATAGCCTTGGGATGTATAGTATTGTAGTGTGTTCTGTAAAATTTTGCATCTCCTACTAGTTTTAGTTGTATCAGCTTTGTTTGACATTGACCCTTTTTTGGGTTTCTGAAATATTATTAACTACGAATATTGGTAGAACAGTTTCTTATTCGGTAGCTTTTCTCTGTAATTTTCAATTGGAACACAAATCTTTAGGATTTATAAGAAGCATGACAAGTAAACCTCTAATTATTGCCTTTGATTTAATGATGCCGTTACATATGCTTATCCTGGGGGGAAATTGAAAAGCAATAGTATTTCCTATGTACAGAGTTGGGTCTCAAGTATTTCTACATTCTTTCCTGCCTTCTGATTTTGTTCTTTTTGGGGTGGCTCATACACAGCCCAAGCCCCTGGCTTCTGATCCTTTCATGATTCTCAGCCTCTTGCAGGATGAGATGAACATTCTGCAGAACAAAAGCAAATATTAATGAGTTTACTGTAAAAGGACAAAGGAAAATTGCATGCATACATATAATTATGAAAGAGAAATAGGTTTGGAGAAAGAAAGAACTTACTCCCAAAGAACATCTCCAACAAGCATCCAGTCACCATCTTTGTCTTCATAAGTTGGTGCATATTCAGATCCTTTGTACCCTTCTGTCTCCGAGTATGCTCAAATGGTGAGCTTGAACATGTTCTCCAAAGCCTTAAGAAGTTCTGAGTAGCTTCTATAAACCTTGAGATCTATCTTTCTGAGGTAAGCAGCTCCATCAACGCTCACTTTGACATACTTCACCTCCCCTCATTCAACTTCGTTTTTCTTGGCTTGCAAACAATTTTTCCGGTATGATCTGACTGGTGGCCACCCTACAATTTGTGCTCTGCATTCATATATACACTCAACCATTATAATGTAATTTTTTTTGTCTTTGGCTAAATACTTCCAAAACACAAGTTTTTATGAACTTACTTGGCAGGAGGAGCACTTTCTTGATGATCATCGTTTCCATCGTCTGTCACTTCGGAGCAACTGATTCTGGCTAAAGTTCTCTTGTTAGGCCTAGCGGTCGTTTGTCTCTCAGGCTCAACACTTCCTGGTAACCCCAATCGGAGCTCCGTTGCCTTGAGATTGAGACCATTCTCGTAATTCACTTCCATTGTTAACCTACCAATATATATGGTGCTATTGCTTGAGCTTGTTCAAAGCAAGAAAACACTTGGGGTTATATAGGTTTTGATTTTTGAAGGGTTCCTTTGAATATCTTCTTCTTTGTTAATCTGTTGCCGTTGATGATGAGAAAGATGTGAAGGAAACTAGTTTTATAGGGATGGACTTGTTTCAAGGGGAAGATATCTAATGATCTAAGTTTTGCATGCCTTTGCATTGATGGTAAATGATATTGCCACGCTCGCGCTGTGGTACTCGCTTCCTCGGTGACCATTGAACGAGGGTTTTGCTATGTGGGAAGGGAGATGTGTAGGGGAAGCGCGTGGGATGGATACTAGACAGCAACAGATGTGGCTGCCGGTCACATGTGGGGCCATGGGGGGCAGCGTTGAGTTAGGGTGCCCAAAGTGAAAGAGACAAAGGAGAGACAAGTACAGCCGATGGTATTGAAGACTGTGGACCAAAATGGACGGCTATGATGGATTAGTTTTGGGAGTGAATCCAGGAGCTTCGGATCACGAGAACATCCCCATGTGAAGAAAAAGGATCCCACGTGGATATCGATCATAGCCTTATGGCTAATGTACATGTGGGACCCTTTGTTTTAATTCAATTGGCCCACGTGACATGACATGTGGCAAATGGGTACCTCTCTTTTGTTTCCCTTGGCTTTCAATTTTCACTTCTTTATACATCGTCTCTTTAAAAATCATCACTAAATTATGCTGAATTTATCTTTTTTATGGTTAAAACTTAAAAAGTTGTAAAATAATTATAAAATCGGTAACTCCTATTCCAATTAGTCGATTCCAAGTGTGAGAATATGGTTGGGTAATGGGGCAGCTATACATAGTCGGTGCCAATGTATGCCGAGACACGGTCGCTTTTAAACTGCCAAACCATATCCACAAACACCTACAGCTCCATCAAAATACAACTCACGATTTTGAAGCCAATGGACACGTTGTGGTGTCACGTTTGGAATTTGGAGAAACCATTCTCTAATTATTGCAATTTTGCTGTGCTATCTTGGAATTGCAATTTCAGGGGGGGTCCACAGCCATTTAGACCCCAAGCAAGCAGATTTGAATCTGCAGGCCATTGTTTATCTTCCTCAACTGCCATAACTTCAACCATCAATTTAAACCCCACAAACTCAACTTTTGTGTACTTGTGTTCTTTCATTATTTCACCACTTTGCCGACAAACGAAAATTCTCTATATTAAATATATAAAGTATTATGAAAAAAAATTATATAAAAAATCATTTATTTATTTATTTATTGTTTTCTAATATAATTATCAAACATCATAATTCTAAAAAAATACACGCGATAAAAAGACTTAAAATATATACCTTTTATTTCTTGTATACCCACAGCTTTGATGGTGTTTATGTAAAGTTCATTTTATCTAATTTGGATAGAGAATCAATAGAGAAGAATGTGAAGATATCGATCGATGATGATTCACCTTTTTAATTTGGATGGAGAAATATTAAGGAAGGACATTAATAAGAAATGAGAATTAGACTCGACCTCCTCTTAAAAAGAAGAAAAGAAGAGAGTTTTATAGGAATAATTTCACCTCTCAATTTTTGAAGAGAAAGTCCTCTTATATGTTGTGTTTATAGCATTATATGACATTAATAGATTATTAGATTGATAAAAGTGAAACCTATAATAAGTTAATTTCGAACTTATTGCATCAGTTTATTATCATACATAATAATGAACAATATAACAAGCTACAGACATAATCACATTATCTTGTAGGAACTATTGAAACTAGGTTGCTTTCATCCTTTATTTTCCTGCTGTGAAAATTGGGGGATAAACAGGAGCTGCCTACGACTACAAGCTTTTTAAGCTTAGTACAATACATGGTTAAAAGGAACACACGTGTGGTGTGTTAAATGATGACGCTGATGGTAAAAGCCTGTGGGCCTACGTCCGCACGTGGTAGCCTGAAAGCGAAGTTTTAAAAAAAAAGGAAAATTGGACTCTGAGATGAAGAAGTCCAATAACCATTAAAGATCAGCTTCCCCACCTATTGTTCCCCGTAAGTACTGGATTTGGCCTTTGCTTCCCATTCCATCAACCATACCAAGCCATGCTAACACATCTTTTACATACATACATACATGCATCATCATATGTAAACACTTCAACCCCATTTATTAAATATTCATCTAAATTCGAGTATTGAATAAAATTAGAAAAACTTGATAATAAAAAAATACAATGCATGACCAATCAAACCAAACCGTTAACAGTATTTTCTAGAAACGTCTTACCTGTTAGCACTGGGATGGCAAACGGGCGGGTCGAATGCGGATACCCTCTCTCTCATCCTCATACTCACCTAATATTTTTAAATCTACCACTCATGATGGGTAAAATTTTTCAAATCCACACCTGTCCACGCGGGTATATTCTCAAATTCATCCCCACACCCACTACCAAACTAGAGATGTACCTGACTAGACTCACCTGACAGCAACTTTAAGTTATACATAAACATCAAACATAAATTAAGAAACATAATAAAATAAACCAATGATTATCTGAGTTAAGTGTTAACATAGATCTTA